ACCCTGTAGAGAGCACCCGCTAAAAGTGGGGGCGGGTGGCTTGATCTAGCCTGTGTAGTAGATTCCCTTGGACTTTTAAAAACTTTTTATGGAAAACTTTATGACTCCTAAACAAACTTTTGTGGCTACTAAGGCTCTTAGTAGGTATATTAGTTACTTATTGCTGCTGTAACAAATTACCACAAACCTGTGACTTAAAACAACACAGATTTATTATCTTACAGTTCTTTAAGTTGGGTGTCCAAAATGAGACTTTCTGGGCTTAAAATCAAGGTGTTCACAGGTCTGTGTTCTCTTCTGGAGGCTCCAGGGAAGACTTTGCCCTTTCCGGCTTCTAGAAGAGGCTGCCCACATTCCTCGGCTCCTTTCCTCCATGTTGGTAAAAGCACCAGCATTGCTGGACTGAGTCTGTCTCACACTGTATCACTCTCTCTTCTGCCTTCCCTTCTACATTTAAGAACCTTGTGATTACATTGGGCCTATCTGAATCATCTGGGATAATCTCCCTATTTTAAGCTCAGCTGATCAGCATCCATAAGGTGACCAGACGTCCCACTTTTGGTGGGCCAGTCCTGATTGTTAACAATTTGTCCCACGTCCCACGGCATTTTAAAAAAGTTCCAGTTTTTGGAAAGAATGCATGACAAGCTAGGGAATGGTGGGAGAATGGGAAGGGAATATACAATTTTCAGCTGCCATGTGGCTATTTTGCCAGGATATGAGTTTTATATTATTTTTGTTCATTTTAAACTTTGAAAGTTTAAATTATTAAACTTTAATAATAACAAATAATTGTTGAGAACTGATTATCGAGAACTGCTTATCAAAGTTCGCATTGTTGATCAGTTGTTAGAATTCGACCACCATTGTTTGGACTTAATGGTGCATTTTTTGGCATTGGCAACCACAAAAACATTTTGTAACTGTCTCTTAGACGATACATATCGTACTGCGTGCTAGTGCTAGTTAAACAAATGATGTCAACAAATCAGCTATTCAGATAATTTAGGTAAGTGATTTATTTATTTCATGAATTTAGCAGACAGTACTCATATTATTTATATTTTATAGTGGCGGCAAAACGTCTAGCGCCGGCCTTGAAAGTGACACTTAGGACTTACGAGGTATCATTATTAAAAAAATATATTGATAAGGAAAAGGTTAAATCTTGGGCATCAGCAAAAATCACAATAGAGAACAAATGGTTAGAAATATTTCATCATTTTGAAACAAACCATGTTCCATACAATAATGCACTAAAAACTGTGGGATACGCGCTGTCCTTACCGGGAACTAATGCTGCGACTGAACACGTTTTTTCCTATGGCAAATAAAGTGTGGACATCAGAAAGATCACAATTAAGTGTTGAGACTTTGAAAGCCATTTTTTGTGTGAAATATAATTTAACAAATTCTTGTGAAAAATTTCATGACCTTTTAAACAACGACAGCAATCTACTAAAAAGAATTCACTCAAATGAGAAATATGCCAAAGAATAAAATAATACTATACATAATTTTTTAATGTATTATATTTGTAAATTGTACTTATGTTGAAATTTAAAAATATATATTACAATACTATTTTTGTGTTCTATGAAAATTTTTGTTGCTCCATATAGACCAAATTTTAATTAAGAACACCCCCAGGTCAGTGGTGTCTCACTTTACCAATGTTAAAGTCTGGTCACCTTACTTTAATTCCATCTGCTACGTTAATTCCCCTTTGCCATGTGACCTACTGTGTTCACAGGCTCCCAGGATTAGGAGTTAGATTTCCTATGGGAGCAAGGAGGGGCATGTGGCCAGGAGAGCATGATTCTGCCTACCACAGAAGGTGTACAATCAAGGCCTTGATCAACACCTTGATTTTAATCCTTCTAGGATTATTCAATACCCATTATTTATTCACTATTCAATAAAGATTTTAAGGCTCTGCTTTGCACCAGGAATTGTGTCTGACAAACCCTGGGGAAGGAGAGAGAACTCTCTGCCCTCCAGGAGCTTGCAGTCTAGTGAAGGGAAATCAGTCTATGAGTCAGTCCTTGAGGTCCTCAAGAAGGAATAGCTGCTGAAACTGATTCATTTCAGAGTTTTATGAGGGGATGGGATCTGACTGTAGATAGGAGTATGGTGTGAACAAGAAGGGAGAGAGAATCTTGACTAAGGAGGAAGAGTGTGACCTGGAGAGAATAGTAGTTAGGGCCTTCCAGGGAGAGGGGCAACTGTGAGTGTGCAGGTGATGGGCAGACTTGGAGCATGGCAGGGATTTTCAGGGCTGACTTGTGAAGCTCAAACTACAGCTAGAGTGTGGTACTTGGTCAGGCCCTGTAATGACACATTGGCTGCCCTTTGTCAAATCAGCCTGCAGAGTCTCCTCCTTTGGCTGCAGTATATTTTAAAACCAGGATTCACGACTGCCAAATGTGTCAGACCTGTTCACTTCCTCTGCATGACCCTGAGTTTGTGACCCTTGATAGGCAAGCATTAGAGAATGGACAGGGAAACCATTGAAGTTTTTGAAACAGAAGAGTACCTGGATCAAGTCTTGTATGTGAAGCAATAAACACCTTCATTGCACATCTCTTAAATTTTTTCTCAGCAGACTTAAATGTCCAATTCCATGATGCAGCATAAGTGGAAAACAGGAGCAAGAATGTGAGGAAGGCAGCTGTGGTATAGTGGGAAACATGCAGAGTGTGGATTTAGACAGTTATGGGCTTGAATCTGAGGTCACGCACTAAGCATATAACCTCGGATGACGCATTTAGTTCCTCCGAAGTTTGCTTTCCTAAACTGGTCTGTGACAATACTGCTGATCAGTGGCCACAGCAGGGCTGCTGTGGGGAGAGAGGGACTGAGCATGTGAAAGTGCCTGTCAGTGCCAGGGGCATGGAGCAGCCTCTCAGTCACTGTTATCTGTTAAGTGAGTATCAGGGCCGTACTTATTTTTTTCTCTAGTTTATGCTCTTAAAATGCCTTAGGGTATTTTTCTGAACTGCATTTAAATTAATAGTCTACACCAGAGATGTCCAACCTACCACCAGAGGCTGCATGCTGATTTTACGAGGACTTTATTTGCTTATCTGTGATATCAGATATCAAGAAAAGTGTACAGGGACCTTTTTTTTTTTTCCTTTGCTAATCAGCTTTCATTAGTCTTTCTGTATTTACTGTGTGGCCCAAGACAACTCTTATTCTTCCAACATGCAGCAGAGAAAAACAAAAACGGTTGAAAACCCCTGTTCTAGACTATGTAGGAAATTTAACTGAACCCTTCCTAACGTAGCTCTAGACAAACCCTGAATGTTTCTTTTGTGATAAACACTATTTTGTGTTTAGACATATACTCGTTCCATAAGTGTTTTGTTTTGTTATTTTGAAACAGAATCTTTCTCTTTTTCCTAGGCTAGAGTACCATGGTGTTGTCATAGCTCACAGCAACCTCAAACTCCTGGGCTCAAGTGACCCTCCCTCCTTAGCCTCCCACGTAGCTGGGACTGGACTACACAGGCTCTGCCACCATACCTAGTTTCTTCTGTTTTTAGTAGAGATAGGGTCTCTCTTTGCTGAGGCTGGTCTCAAACTCCTGAGCTCAAGCAATCTACCCACCTCAGCCTCCCAGAGTGCTGGAATTCCAGGTGTGAGCCACTGCCCCTGGCCCTCATTCTACAAGTGTCTCCTGATCACTGTGTGTGCTGCTTGTGCTCAGAACTATAGAGAGAACCAGACACCCCTCCCTGCATAGTGCTTAATGCTGCTGACAAAGAAGCATATTTATGCAAGTTAAGTCAGTACTTGGCCGTGAATGACTGAGTGCCACGTGGGTGGATGCAGAAGTCCTTTTAAGTTCATAGCAGAGTGAACATTAGCCTGAGTTGGCCTTGACAGAAAAACTTTCATGAAGAGATGAAAGTTCAGCAGACCTTTCAAGGCTGGGCCCTGTGTGTGGAATGAGCGTAAGGGGCATGAGTAGGAAGCTGGGGGTGAGTTGGAGGATAGCAGTAGGCCACTGCTAGTTAATACTCTCCTCTAGAAGTACTTTTGTCCCTGGTGACTAACCTGGGGGGGGTTTCCTTTCACTTTATTTAATTCATTGATGTTTTAATCCCCAGCTTCACACATAGCATTTAACCTTATTATACTAGGAATCTGTCATCACAGATACAGTTCTATGCCTGTGCTGTTGGGTTCTCTGTGTTCATTCACAGAAGTAGGCCATAGGGAGATGGCAGCTTGCTGTATAGCAATAGATTAGTTGCCCCCCCAAATCCTTTTTCTTTTTTAAACTCCGCTGCTTTGTATGAGTCCTATTTATAGAGCTTAGAATCCATCCCCAGGAACATTTAGAAGAAGAAATACTTGTCTGTAAAATTTTAGATATAAGACATAGAAGAAAAGGTAATTACATGCTGTGTAATTATTAGACTGTATGATCTCATTAAATCTCTAAGTACTTTAGAGAGCATCTGTCCGTAATACCTATCATTGAACAATCAGAGGTAGATGGAGCCGTCAATAAGAGAACAAGGGACAGGAATGTTAGTAAGTGAGGGATTAGAGTCTAAAGTGGGCCAGGCACAGTGACTCACACCTGGACTCCGGCTCTCTGGGAGGCGGAGGCGGGTGGATTGCTTGAGCTTAGGAGTTCAAGACCAGCCTGAGCCAGGGTGAGACCCCCATCTCCAAAAATAATTGGGTATTGTGGGCGGGCACCTGTAGTCTCAGCTACGAAGGAGACTGAGGCAAGAGGATTACTTGAGCCCAAGAGTTTGAGGTTGCTGTGAGCCATGATGCAACAGCATTCTATCAACGGTGTCAAAGTGAGACTCTGTCTCAAAAAAAATAAATGAATAAATAAAAAATAAAGAGGCTAAAGCCAGAGTTGCTCCATTTGTAGCTTCAAAATCTTTCTGCAGTCTGCATTCCATTCTCTATTGATTTAAAATTCATACATGAGTGTAACATATCTATATAAACTGCTTTCTTTTTAATTTTAGATTTCTCACATTGGCAAACTGAAAGATTTTCTTCTGGAACATAGGAAAGATTATATTAATGCTTATAGGTAAGTGCATATTTTTTATCATGACTTTGGTGGCTATGTTCTTTTCCATGTCTGTATTCCTTTTGAGCTTTGTGTCCTTACTTTTTACTGGGAGTTGTAATGGGGAGGATCACATTGGCAATAGAAGAATACTGTTTTCAAAGCCATGACATCATAACAGTAGTATCTTCCAGTGTCTGTGCCTCTCTGTGTACCATTATCTCCTCGCAAATGAAATTCTCTCCCTGGATTCTTACAGAGCAGTGTATGAAGTTAGTGATACATATGTTGGTACCACCTGAAATTGTGGAGAAATAAGATTTTCAAGGCTCTGCTAGGCTATTCTCCCCATATCTCTTTGCTTCAGCCTATGACACCAATTTTGCTGATGTGGTGGTAATGGTCTCATGAGCATTTTTCAGTCCTCACCTTCACGTCACTAGGTCATGTTTTCCTTGCCAAATCCACTCCTTAGTTCCAGTGGCCATCTCCTCCTCCTGTCCTTCCAGGCTATTTTGACATTTGCTAGAGGCAGCTATAAGCCCAGTTTGCCATGGCATGGCATTCATTATGTCTGACACTTTTCAGGAATGTTTTTATTAATCTCCTAGCATAACTCGTGGGGACATTTTCCTGGTAGCTATCCACCTTCTACTTAGTAGCCTTAGCTGTTTTAAAGCATCAATTGGATTATGCCAGCGCCTGAGAAAGCCCACCATGAATGCCCCACTGCAGTTGGCATTAGCACCAGCCTCCGTGCTGTGGCCTCGCCACTCATGAACTGACTCCCGCCTTCTTTGGCTTCATTTCAAACCCCACCAGCCTGCTTCCTGTCCCTCCCGCTGTCAGGCTCCAGGTAGACCAGAACTGTGTTCTTCCTGATTCAGGGCTCAGCCATGGACTGTTCTCCACTGCCCTGCAGTCTCTCCTTTTCAGACTGAAAGCCTGAACTTTAATGCTTCCTCTTTCAAGAGGCCGTCTCTGACCACCCTTTATAAAATAGATCTCTTCTGTTTGTTTGTTTCTCCACCCTGTATGTTTTCCTTCTAGCACTAATTGCAATTTGTAATTATTTAATAATAGTAGTTTGTAGTTTATTGTCTGTCTTTGTCACCAGGCCGTAAGTTTCTTGAGATAAGGAACCGTGTCAGCCTTTCATCCTGTCTCCATAGTGCCTCACCCAGGTTTGGCACAATGTGAATTCTTGTCACATCAATGACTGATTCCCCCACAATCATAAGGCACATGACACCCACTGGTTCTAAACCATGGTGATTTTGCTCCCAGGGGACATTTGACAGTATCTGAAGGTACTTTTGTTTGTCCCAGCGAACAAAAGGGAGAGGAGTACTAGTGAGATTTAGTGGGTGGAGGCCAGGGGTATGCAAAGCTCCCTGCACGTGCAGGGTGCCGCCACTCCATAGCCAGCAGTCATCTGGCCCAAAGTTAGGTGGTGCTGACACTGAGACCCCTGCTCCAGCCTGAGACTATAGGTGCCCGCCCACAACACCCGACTATTTTTGGAGATGGGGGTCTCGCCCTGCAGGCTGGTCTCGAACTCCCCTCACTCTCTACATTAAACTTTTTCATTCACCAAAGATTTACCCAATACTTGTTCTGTGCTCAGTTCTGTTCTAGATGCTCAGGGCAGGTCAGGGAATAAAATGGACAAATATTCCTACCCTCATGCTACTTGCCTTCTGGTGGGCTGGCAGAGAAGAGCACTCAGTGCACAGTGTCTTAGGTGATAGATCCTGTGAAAAAAGAAAGAGCAGAACATGGGAACAGGGGTCAGGGCAGGACCCCCCAAGATGCCTTTATAGCCTACTCCTCTGGGAGGGCTGGAGCCCCTGATAGGGTCCCTCTCAGGTCCCGCCTCATCTCCTCCTCCCTGCTCTCTACCTGTGGTAGAGAAACCTTTCTCTTCTGTTTTTAAAGGTAATGTCCCATTTAGGTCCTTTTATCTCATCATTCCCACTGCTTCTAAAAACACGGCTGTGCATATTTGTGATTCATATCTACTTTTTTTATCATCAGGCTGTTTTTTCCTTTTCCTGGCATCTTTTACATTTGACCTTTTCAAGCTACAGGCACTGTCACTTTCTCTGTTTTCCTTTAGTGCCAAATGTAGGGGGAAAGTCTATATCCAGGATTTGCCAACTTTCCATAAAAGCCAGATAGTAAATACTCCAGGCTCTGTGGGCCCCATGTGGTTTCTGTTGCATATGCTTTGGTTTGGTTTGGTTTTATTTATAACCTTTGGAAATGTAAAAGCCATTCTTAGTTCTCACACTGTGGAAACTAGGCCTCTGGGCTATACTTGGCCAACAGACTGTACTAGATGCTGAACCCTCGTACATGACCCTCTGTTTCCACCCTAAGTCACCCACTCCTCATAATACCACATAGGGCTTGGGTTCCATCACTTCTTTTTTCTTTTTGAGACAGAGTCTCAAGCTGTTGCCCTGGATAGAGTGCCATGCCATCATCATAGCTCACAGCAACCTCCAACTCTTTTTTTTTTGAGACAGAGCCTCAAGCTATCCCCTGGGTAGAGTGCGTGGCATTACAGCTCACAGCAACCTCCAACTCCTGGGCTCAAGCGAGTCTCCTGCCTCTGCCTCCCAAGTAGCTGGGACCACAGGTGCCCGCCACAACGCCCAGCTATTTTTTGGTTGCAGCCGTCATTGTTGTTTGGCGGGTCCGGGCTGGGGATTCGAACCCGCCACCTTAGGTGTATGTGGCTGGCGCCTTAGCCGGTTGAGCTATAGGCACCAAGCCAACCTCCAACTCTCGGACTTAAGCGATCCTCTTGCCTCACTTTTCTATTTTTAGCAGAGACGGGGTCTTGCTCTTGCTTAGGCTGGTCTCAAACTCATGAGCTCAAGCAATCCACCCACCTCAGCCTCCCAGAGTGCTAGGATTACAGGCATGAGCCACCACACCTGGCCTGTTCCATCACTTCGGAAACTTCTCCTGAAGCTCATCTGTGACTTCCTAATCACCAAATCCAATGACTTTCCTCAAACTGAATATAAGTGGAATCATATAGTACATACTCGTATGTGTCTGCCTTGTTTCACTAGACATCTTTTTGAGGATCATCCGTGCCTTTTTATTGCTTTATTATTTATAATATTCCATTGTGTGAAATTACCACTGTGTGTTTATCCGTTTATTGAACAGGGACTGTTGGGTTGTTTGCAGTTTAGGGCTACTATAAATAAAGCTGCTGTGAGCAGTGTCTCCACAGGTCTTTAGTGGACCTATGTATTCATTTCCTTCAGGTAAGTACCTGGGAGTGAAATTGCCAGGCCACACAGATGTGTGGAGTGCCTGGCTTCAAAATAAATACCAAGCAGTTTTCCAGAGTGGTCTTGGTGTTTCACACCTGGGAGCTGCAGCCGCTCCACATCCTCGCCAGCATTCGGGGTGGCTAATTAATATTGTTACTAAAGTCTCTTTTCTTTCTTTCTTTTTTTTTTTGAGACAGAGTCTCACCCTGTTGCCCTGAGTAGAGTGTCATGGCATCACAGCTCACAGCAACCTCAAACTCCGGGGCTCAATCAATCTCTTGCCTCAGCCTCCTCAGTAACAGAGATTATAGGCGCCCACCACAACGCCCAGCTTTTTTTTTTTTTTAAAGAGACAGAGTCTTGCTGTTGCTCAGGCTGGTCTCAAACTCATGAGTTCAGGTGATCCATCTGCCTCAGCCTCCTAGAGTGCTAGGATTACAGGCCTGTGCCACTGCACCTGGCTCTCTGTCCATCTTGAAGGCCTTCTCCACGTTAGGTACACTGAGAAGCATTAATTAACATTTTATCACATCCGTCACAGATGGGGGACAGGCAGGAAAGGGAAGTGTAGAGATGAAGACATGGCTGCTGAGCCAGGGCTGCCCCCCGTGTCCACACCCTTCCCTACCACATGTTCCTGCCCATTAGCACAGCTTCCTCTGTCACCACATGCCAGCAGCTCCTCAGTGCATGTCACAGACACCTTTAGTTCCCTGTAGCCACTGTCCTGCCTATCCAGTGCCACATGCTGCTCCTACCCACCCCCTCCTTCCCTTGGGAGTGTGTCATGCTGTCTGTGTCACTTGCCTGATCTCTTGGTTCCTTCCTCTCCGCATTTGGCGTGAAGGTACAGCTGCTGTTTGGTCCTTATTACCATGGATATGATGACACAATTCCTCTCCTCAGCTCCCTTGTCTGACTGAAGGATGTGACCCATCCATACTTCTTAGATAGGTGAGACTTTTCATTAACCTTACCCACTCTTTCACCCTCTCTCCTTCTCTTCGTGCCCTATAGCTGCATGGACATTTGTGTCTCCTCCAGGCCTCCAATCGCACTGCCTGCCTGTTGTTCTTGACTCTAATCTATCCATGTCACATGTTCATATGTTCACGTGCTTCCATCCTGAAAGACCCACTCCCCACCACCACCTTCTCATAGAGCCTGCCCTGGCCCTGCCTTCCTGTCTGAAAACCATCTCTCCTGCCCTTCAACTGTGGAAGCTCTTTCTCTGTATTTTTCTTATGGTATTTCTCAGACTTGCCTGGTATAGTAGTTACTTAACCATAATAATCTCTTCCACCAAGTTCCTTGAAGTAAGAAACTGCATCTTACTCATCTCTTCGTGTTTCACACTGCCAGAGTTCCATCAGTTGGTTCATTCATCCTGCAGATGTTTATTGAGTGTCTGCCTGCATCACGTACCATGTCAGGCATGGAGGGCAAGGTAGTGAGCAAAGACAGATGAGTTGGTCCTTGCCTTCATGGAGCTGTTACAGGATTCTTGCAAACAGGTAAGGCCTCAGGTGTGACAGGTGCTGCAGAAGTAGAGTACAGATAACCTTTGAGGAATTTAGCCTTGTCAGGGAAAGTATCCTTGATGAGCTGAGGCCTGAAAGACCAGAAGGGACCTAGGTAAGAAGGAAGGAAATGGATTTGAATGTAAAGGGGTTGGAAACACCCTGCAGACAGTGTCTGTCCTCTTGTAAAACATGCTGAGGTGAA